TATTTAGGTTGCTTAGCAGCAATAGTGTAATTGCAATTAAAAGAAATGGGGAACAGAGAAACCCTTTTTCTTCAGTGCAAAAATTAACCACACAGTGCAGGAGTTCCCTTGTTTCTGTGATCCAGTAGCAGATGTCCGTTACTAATTCTGTATTACTAAGCACAGCAGGAACGTAGTCACTCCAAGACTGACTTTTTATAGGAACTTTTTTCCTAGGGGCTCCCTGGAATTCAAGACATGCTTGCGTATGCGTGATGACTGCGTGTTTTGTGGTGCAGTGTAGAGGCAAACATGCTCTTTTTTTTCTTTCTGTCTCTTTCTGGCAGTCCCAGTATAAGAGCCACTTTGTTGCCGCGAGCTTAAATAATCAAAAGACTGGTAGTGCTGCCGCTGGTGCTAGTGGCTGGACCAGTGCTGGGAGCTTAAACTCTGTCCCGACGAGTTCAGCACAGCAAAACGCTGCAAATCCTGACAGCCCGATCGCAGCCACCGCGGCAGCAAAGGGCGTTCCAGGGTTTACCAGCACGGGGAATCTGAGCAGCGTTCCCACCTTTCCAAGTGTCGGAGTACAGGGCTTCAACAACACCAATGTCAGCACCAACAGTCGAGAAGGCATCGGCAGCAGCTCCAGCGTCGCTACTGGTGGCGGCGGCGGCGGCGGTGGTGGGAATATCGGCAGCGTTGTCAGGGAACGATACAACGACAACCGGAACAGTCGCCACAGCGAGGTCCTGCGCCGCGGAGAGGGGGGTGGTGGTCGCTACAACGACGTGCAGCGCCACGGAGAAGGAGGCAGTCGCCACAATGACGCGTACCGACACGGAGAGGGCCGACACGGCGACAGCCACCGCCACGGGGAGAGCCGGCACGCGGCTGATGCGGGCAGCGGCACTCGCAATAACGGTGAGAGCAGGAACAGCAGCGAAGGCCGGAAGGGAGAGGAGGAGTGGTGAGAACAGGAAGGACGCCAGCACCCGAGACAACAAGACAGATGGTTTTGCTGTCCCAGAGCCCCCAAAACGCAAGAAGAGCCGGTGGGACAGTTAAAAGCTGGCGTTTCACAGCCTGGAATCTCTGCAGGTAGCGTTGTCTTTGTCCGGAGGATTTCTTGGGGTTTTTGGTAACTGGTTGTTGAGCAGCTGGGGGAGGAGAAGGAAACCACACAAACTCCCCGTGCGAGTCTGGACCGGTACATGTGTGGACAGATTCACTCTAATGATGTGTACACAAAATGCTTAGTCAAAGAGAAATCATTTTGATAAAGCTCCCTGGGTTCTGCTTTTAACCATTCAGTGCTCAAGTGACTCTCTGCTGGGTTTAAACAGATCTTCTTGACGAGAAAGAAGCTGTTTCAAGTCCTTGGAACGTTAAGAAACTGTTGTCCCTAAGAGTATAAAGCAGTCTTTTCTTAACCAGCGTTCACATTTAAAAAAAACAGTCCATCTAGAGATGCTCAGGACCCACCTGTTAAACATTAACCTTTCAGCAATTTGTTCAGTTTGGTGAGTTCTTCCCCAGTCTCTTCTTTTTACATATTCTCTTATCCCCAAATAATTTGGCCTCCAGGTTGCCCCTTTTCTCTCTCCCCATCACCTAAGAGTGTATCAATTTGCATCACTGAAGGTGGGATGAAGCAAGTTGATTTTTCTTTCCTTTTTTTTGGTTATTCCTTACGAAGCTGTTCAAGGCATCCTTCTCCAGCCACAAATTCACACGTAGTGTAGGACGGACTCCCTGGCTTGTTTGTGGTCAGTACATCAATCCCAGTCCCATTGCCCAGGTATTTTTTCCTTTTGAAGAACCCCCTATTTCCTAGTAACCTCCATTTTGGTGGAAGCCTGCATAGCAAACTTGTCTCTCTGCTGTGCCTATGCACCCTCTGTTGTGAGAGGGCCGAGTGCTTTCTTCAAATTAAAAACAAAAAAGGGAAAGAAATGTAGATACACCCCAACAATCAAAGGCTGGTGCCCCCCAGTAACTGAACGAAGAGGCTTCATTCAGAAATTCAGGGACCTGCTGCTCAGAAGCCTTTAGGGAGAACCTGAAAAGCAACTGATGAAGTGGAACAGCTCAAATATCACAAATATTGGACACGTGGTTAAAACTGTAAAATCTTGCTTGACCGTTTTTAACTTGTCATGTGTATTACCCATTTTTTAACTTTTTTTTTTTCTTTTTGCGCCATAAAGGTAAGGAAGAACTCTTTTGTTGAAACATGTCAGCACCCACCTCTGTCTTGTTTCTGCTGAAAGAAGTATCAGAAACTGTCAGGTTTTTGTGACGTTGTGATGTTTTCTTTATCAGCTGTGCATTTACTTTCTGCTTGCTCTAGTAAATGTTTTATTACTGGGACAAAAATGCCTCGCACGTGCTTTTTATTCTCCACTTCTTCCTTCAGCTGTTCTGGCGTTTGGATGGAGATTGGACTGACTGGAGGTCTGACCGTATCCCTATTTTCCACCAAAAGCTGCGGATCGTAGTTGATAAAAGACTTGCAGTGTTTTTCCTCAGTATCTTTCACGTCAAACTGTTCTGCAAACCCTGTTTTAGCTTCAGAGCCTCCTGGGGAATAGTGTTTTCCCTGTTTTACAAGTTGGAAGGACACAGCCCAGGGCATGTGGCTCATCCCAGTCTTTCATTGGGGTCATTGGTAGAGCTGGAAGGAGAACTCAGCAACAGTCCTGTGATCTGACTTGCATGTCTGCTGGTTCCAGTTAAGACAGCAACTTGATTATTCAGGACCCCTCACGAACTAGCTCTAATCTCCTGGGATGTTTTTAAGAATAGCTTCCACTTGGATTATCTAGTCATGGTCTAGGCAGAAACCTCATTGCACTGGTTGGAGCTCTGCATATTTAGTATTAAGACAAGGATTTTCCAGGGCAGATGTGGCAGGGAGCTTAGGAGCAACTGCTGAGTTCCCCTTTCCTTATCACGCTTAGGAGTTACCACTCTGCTCAATTAAATATTTGAGTTTCAAAACAAACCAAAAAATAGCTCCCTAGTCGGAAGCTGCCATCTGCTCCCTCCCTTCCTGGATCTCAGCTCTCTGCCACTGGGAACTGGCCCCGTACGTGGCACATGCTTGAGTTTCTCCCCTTCTTTTTAACGCACCCGTCTGCCATTTGATGGGATTATTGAAATTCCTCACCCCTCTCTCAGCTCCCAGGAGCCTCTGGAGGCCTCAGCAAGTAAATATTGATCTCCGACAGAGAGCTATAAATGTCAGTTCACAGGTTCACGTTAGATACATGAGCGGGTTGGTTCCTTCCCTGCAGAACAAGGCAGCAGTGTGAGCAGCATGCCAGCTACCCTGGAGGGGAATTTCTCGCCGTGCAGTGGTAAGTGGCCCTAAAGAGACCAGGGCGTAACTCCCAGCTGAGCAAACAGAGCACAGGAAGCTCAGGTTTGTTTGGAAAGTGTAGCCCTGGGATTCTGCTCCTGCCTCTGTGCTTGTGCATCAGTCACCCCTCTGCCTCTCATCCCCCAGAGTGGAGCAAACGCTCCCACCGTAGTTGTAGATGCCCCATCCCTGGAAGTGTTCAAGGCCAGGCTGGATGAGGCTTTGAGCAACCTGGTGTAGTGGAAGGTGTCCCTGCCCATGGCAGGGGGGTTGGAACTGGATGATCTTTGAGGTCCCTTCCAACCCAAATCATTCTATGATTCTTCCACCCAGCTGTGCCTCTTCCACGTTGTACAGCGCGTGTTTTCCTGGATGGGAGATGATGTGGATGTGCCCAATTCTGGACCACTTAAAGAATATGAATCCTGGAGCCTTTCCCTTCCCTAACGTGCCTCCTGGCCTTCTGGCTGGCTGTCCCTCCAGTGCTTCCTAATCCTTGTGACTCACTTTATATCTTTGCTTTTCACTGGAAGATCTGGGAACGTGCAGAAGTAGTTACATGTTCTCTGTCACTGTCTTTATCATGAAATTACTGCCTTGAGGGAATGTGTCTCATCGGAGCGCGTAGGGAAAAAGGTCTCCATGCTACCACCAACAAGCTGTTTAATTTTAACTGGCACATGTGCCCCCCTTTCCCAACAAGGTTGTAGTTCTCCCCTCCCCTGTGGCCTGACTGAACTGCCTGGGCTGGGCATTGCAAGCTCCTTGGGGAATGTCTTTTCCCGTCAGGGTGATGAGCTTTCCCGGGCAGTGCACGTGTAGCAGAGTGGGCACTGGGAGCGAGCAGCAAGAGCAGACCTGGCTGGGAGCGGGGCCGGGTTTCCAGCCCTTTACACCCTCTGCTGTCCTCCAGCAACGGATGGCTGTTCCCAACACCCCTGAGTCCCGATGGAGTCTGAGGACGGCAGCAAGCCGTGCAGACTGTCTCTTTATTCACTTTTTAGCCTGCAGAAAGATGACAGGGCCAGGACTTGCGTGCGGTGGTCCCGAGCTGTAAAGCCTGGGGCACCCGGGGGTTTGCTGCGCCCTTCCCGGGCGTAAAGCTTGACCTGCCGCCCGGAGCCCATCGTATCCCGGTGACCCGTGCTCCCTGTTTGTGGCTGAGCGTTACGCGTTGGGCTTCACAGGATCTGTGAGCTGCACAAGGGTGTGAGTAAGGGCAGGGGGAAGCTCTGTGGCTGCTCTTCACTCTGCCAGCCCCGGGCTGTACAACGCAGGAACTGGTGCTAAATAGAGGAATTGGACTTCAGGATTATGGGCTCCTTGAATCAACTTTATACACGCTGGAGCTGAAGTCACCTTCCAGACTGTGGAGGTAAGGTTGAGCCTGGAGGGTTGTTTCCTGGCGGTGATTCAGGGCTTTGCACGCTCAGACATCCCATCAATCACTCGCGCGTGGAAGGAAGAAGGAGGTTTGGAACTGGCTGCCTCGTTTTTAGACCACGTAGGTAGAAGCAGCGAGAGCACGTGGTCCCTTTGCACGCTGGCTGTGAGGGAAAGGGAACTGTTGTTCCAGCTGCTGTCCCTGCCCCTGCCCCAGCTCTCCGGGGAAGCAAAAAAAGAGCCCGAAGCGTGAGGATCAGCAGCTGGATGTCCGGATGGGAGAGACACTGTTCACAGCATCGTCTCCATCTCTTTGCTTAGGTTGGAGTGACACTGGTTTGGGTCTGTTAAGTCCACTGAATTTTCCCTGCAGGCTTTCTGGCTCATCTCCTGGGTCGGACAGGGCAAAAAGTTATCCGAGGCAAAGGAGCTGGGGATGTAGCCGGGCAGGCTGGCACGGGCGGGGAGCAGCAG